CAATAAAATTAGAAAAAAGAAATGGCATTACACACGTCTAATGATACTTGGCTATAAAAGAATAAAAGAGGGGGAAAAAAGAACAGAGAGTGGGGGAAATCTCTGCTCTTCCACCTCTGGTCTCTCCCCTAGATGGTGAGAGCAAATACGGTCATCTCCCGCACCAACTCTGATCTGGAGTGGTTGCTGGGGAGGATGCYGAGGCTGGGTGAAGCTCAGAGGAAGAGGGCTTGTCCGGAATGACACCAGACTGCAAGAAAAGAAAAAGAAAGATGCCAAGGCTTCGTCTGAGCTCAAAGGGGAAAACGGTATCATGATTGATTAATAATGTCTAGCATGAAGACAGGCTATAAAAGGGGTTATATATTTCAATTCAGTCACGTGTTTTAATTTAATCATGTGTTTTAATTTGGAAAGAGAATGGAAAAGCAGTTTCAGCAGAAATCTAGAAGAATGGGAATGGAACCAAAGGTATTCATTCAGCAAATGTGTTAGCTTGCCAAGTGCTGGCCCGGAGGGACTCAAGAATGGGATGGCTTCTACGAGTCTGGGAGGTCAGGGAAGGCTTTCTGGGTGAACTGACCATGAGCCAGGTGACAGGTGGGCTAGGAGTGGAACTGTGCCCCGACAGAAGGACTGACAAGGGGAAAGCCCCAGAGACATCAGCACAGTGCCACTATGGGCCTTAGGGAGCCACCGAGGCTGCTAGGCAGGGAGCGACAAGACCAAATGGCATCAGTCTCCCCGCCTCTGCCCTCCAAGTGTTAATGCTCTAGAACAACCACATGATTGACCTAAAAAATGAGAAAGTCAGCTTTGCAAACTGATCAGTTAGGTGAGATCTGATTACTGGGTCAAGGTAGAAGCTGGACAAATGGCTGGCCTCTAAGAGAATGTAGTAAAACTTGTACAACTCAAGAGATTTCAGCTAGAGATACGGAGGAAGGACAAGCCCAAAATGACGATGCTCTAAATCAGAGGAGCAGAGGCTGATCTGCAGCCCACACCCACTGAAGCAGAAAGAATCAGTATTGGTCAAGCCCAAGCAATTGTGTCATAAACCACACCTGGCAAAGACTGAAGGCATGTGGCTGCTCCAACAGGTTAAAGCCTCCCCACTCTTGGATGCAGCAATTTCACTTAGAAAAATGAGAATCAGGGCTGGGGTTGTGGCTCAGTGGCAGAGTGCTTGCCTGGCATGTGTGAGGCATTGGGTTCAATCTTCAGCACCACATAAAAATAAATAAATAAAAATTAAAGGTATTATGTCCATCTACACCTAAAAAAATTATACACACACACACACACACACACGATGAAAAACATCTTTTAACAGTTCTTAAGAACTGTGGAAAAGCATAACCCACAAAGATGTTCATTGCAGCATTGTTTACTAGATTAAAAAATATAAAACAATGTGAATGTCCAATACTAGGGGATTGGTTGAATAAATCACGGCCACATGGAATCCTAAGCAGCTATGAAAAATGATGACTGACATGAAAAGATGGTCACGTTGTTTCATTAGATGTAAAAAAATAGGTTATACATATTTTCAAAGATGAATGAGTCTGGAAKAAAAATACTCTAAAATGCCAGCAGTCTCTCTTTAAAAACCTTATTTCACATGGTACTACCATATGATCCAGCTATACCACTCCTAAGTATGTATCCTAAGGAATTAAAGTCATCAAACTATAGTGAGAYAAGTTTATAGCAGCACAATTCACAATAGCCAAATGCGGAGCCAGCCTAGGTGTCCATCAAAAGATGGATGGAAAGAGAAACTCTGGTGTACATACACAATGGAGTTTTTGTTCAGCCATAAAGAAAAATAAAATTATGTCATTTGTAAGAAAATGGATGGAACTAGAGACCATTATGTTAAATGAAACAAGTCAATGTCAGGTCAAGGGCCATAGGTTTTCTCTCATATGTGGGAGCTAGAGAGGAATAAGGAAAAGAAAGGTAGAAGCAGATCTCATAAAAATTAAATCAGTAGAGGAAAGGGACCAGGGGGTGGGAGGTGGAGAGGGAGGGGTGAGTTCTGGGGAGTGATATTGATCAAATTATGTTATTATATGTGTGCGTGTATGAATATGTAACAACAAATCCCATCAGTATGTGCAATTACAGTGCACCAAAAAAAAAAAATGTGGGAAAAGAAAAAAAAAATCAACCCCTATTTCAGAAGGCTGTGATAGGATTAACTAATCAATAAATGTCAGACATGATTTGTTTGTGCTCGATTTTCCTTCATTTAACAGATCTTCCTTGCAGAATTGAACACTTTTTAAAAACGCAGTTTGGGGCCCTTTGTGGTTTACATCTGTATCTAGAATAACAGTTCTCCACCGGGGATGAGTCTGGCTCCCTCGAGATAGTTTTGGTTGTCACAACTTCAGGGAGAGGTCTGGACATCTGCTCAACATTTCACAATGAACACGACAGCCCCACCACCACCAAGAATAATCTGGCCCCCAAAGTGGGCAGTGCCATGGTGGAGACACCCTGAYTGGGAGGAAAGCACACAGCAGTGTTGTTCAGACTCCTCACATCCACTGCTCTAGTCCTGCTCCATCTAAGAGAGATCTGTACCACTCAGCTCATCCAGGTGGCCAGAGGCTCCCTGGATCTGGGCAAAGCCTGGCCTTAGGGCTGACAGCAGATCTCAACGGAACCCTGAGCCCTGGAGAGGACCCTTCTGAGACCCGTGTCTTAAATTACGTGAGAACGTTGGTCCCCAGAAGCAGCATAATAGTTCAGAATGGATTATCACTGCTTCTTCTTCAAGAGCACTAAACGCTATCCTCCTGGGTGGACAGTAAGCAGCTCTGGTGGGCACAGGGCCCTGTAGTGGTTAACACTTTGTGGGCAAAACCCACTGAGGCTTCGTCTAAATGACGCTTCTGTCCACAGCTGTGGGGACAGCCAGAGTCACAACAAAGACAACAATCGTTTGAGAACAGGGAAAGGGAGGTACAGATGCTCTTCTGTCCTCCTTCAGCTGCTAACCTGCCCCTTTCCTCCCAAACTAGCCAGACAATTGTATCCAAAAAAGATGCCCCTACATGCAGAACCCACAGGTGTGCAACCTGTTGAAGAAGAGGAAGGAACAGGATCCTAGCCCACCTCACCATGCTGACATTTAGGGCTGGATCATTCCTTGTGGTGGGAACTGCTCGGTGCCCTGTAGGAGGTTCAACAGCACCCCTGTAGCACCCACAGCATCCAGTAACACTCCTGAGTTAAGACAGACAAAAATATTTCCAGATATTGCCAGATGTCCCCTCAGGGGAAAAATCATCCTCAAAATCTGGCTTAAACAGATTCTGAATCCTCCAGGGTAAGCTAGCTCTGACCTGCAAATATTCAGAGGACACAACTGTCACAAAAATAAACAACTCCTCAAGGCTCAAACCAGTTAGCTCCCAAGCCGCTGCCTGGAGATGCAGTATCACCTCAAGCTAAGATACAGATAATAAGGAAGTTTTGACCATTTGACAGTACTAACTGAGCACCTATTATGTACCAGGTACTGTTCTGGGCACTGGGGACACAGCAGTGGATGTAAAAGACTGAGACTCTGCTCTCAGGTTSTTTACCCAGATCTGAGAATCAAAAAAGCCAGGCAAGTGCGCTGGCCCGATTAATTACCTGCTATGAGAAGGAACCAAAATTACTTCCAGGAACTTAGAGACACATAATTATTCCTCACACAAGGAGCAGTTTGGCCTCTGTGCTTTACAACACACCCTCACTTACTCCTCATGGCTAGCCTAGGAGATCGGCATCCTCATTTCACAGATGGGGATGCTGAAGTTCACAAGGCTAGGAGGAACCCCTGAATACAAATCTGCATAACCACCCCTGTGGGAAGTAGTGCCCACAATAAGCCCTGACCACCCATGGGGTCAAGGTAAGAGGCTGCCCTGGGTGCCAAATCTCTTCAGTCCAAATCAGTCTGAAGGTTTTGCCTCCTTGTGGATTTCAGCTGGACTCTGCCCTGGAGGCTGGTATCTTCCTGTAAGGATACCAAGTGAATCAGCAGGGCAGGCACTGGGAGAGTCCCCATGGAAGAGAAGAAAGCAGAGGCTCGGGTTGCACCCTTTACTGAGAATGAAAGGCAAAGGGCAGGAGCAGTTGCTATTAGCTTCTAGTTCCCGTTTTCCATCCAGGGCCTGTGCTGGGGGAAGCGAGGGAAGGAACGAGGGTCTACAACTGGCTTAGGGACCACCTCCATCGTGATATAAGGAGAAGGTTCTTCCTCTTTTAGGGCCCAAAATGAGGAAGGGATTTGTACCAAGCACCCTGAGTCTGACATCACCCCATAATCCAGCAACCACTTTCCCATCCCTGTCCTGAATGGAGGAAACACTTTAGGTGCTTTCCCCTAGAAAAAGGCCCAGAGTTTTGAAACTCCATCTTCAAATTCCCCTCTCCCCGGCTCCCTGCCCTGCCCTGCCCTGCCCCACCCTTGAAGGTGGGGTGGAGGTCTTTGGAATGGAGGAATTCTGAGGGAAAGGTGCACAGGTCCCACGAGGGAGAGGCTGAAGAGAGGGGATTATGCATTTTAAAGGGAGGAGTTGAGAACCATTCTAAAAGGGAAGAAAGATGGGGGGAGAAACGAAGGGATTGGRGCTGCAAGAGTAAAGGATGCGTGGGGGCAGATGGAGGAGGGAGCCCACAGAGCAGAGGTGCCTGAGTTAGGGGAACCTGGGAAAGATGGACAGCTGAGGACAGGGAAGGACTGAGATGCATCTGAAGGACAGGCAGGAATGTCGGGTGTCTGGGGTGCATGGGCAGAGATGGGGTCTGTGACATGTCAGGAGAGATGATTTAGGAGCAGTCTGGGAGAGGGAGAACTGGGGATGCTTGGAAGGAAAGGGGGTGGCGGAGGTAGGAGACAGGACTCGGGATGCCCTGGGTATGCTCGGCGGCAAAGATTCAGGTGTGTCTGGGAGCGCTCTGGGCCAGCTCCCACCCTCACCCCGGCTCACCGAAGAAGGGCGGCAGGTGGGACACCGCCTCCAGGAAGGGCCCGGTCTCTATCTGCTTGTCCGCGGGCAGCGGCTTCAGCAGGTGCTCCGCCAGCAGCGCCATTTCGGGGTCGAGGCCAGCGGTGATGCCCCAGCCGGCGCCGCGGGCGTCCACGCCGCCCCCCGGGCCGCCGCCGTCAGAGCCGGGGCCGTCACTGCCGCCTGCCGCAGGCTCCGGGGACGCCAGCGTCGCCACTTCCGCCCGCGCCGCGCCCTCGTAGCCGAGCGCTCAGCGCCGCCCGCCGGCCAAGCGACTAAGCTGCCCGGCTCGCCGCCCCGCCCCTCCCACAAACGTCCAATCCGCGCTCGCCGCCGCGCCCGCCCGTCCAATCCGCGTTTGCCTCCGAGGAACTCCGGGCCGCCATTGGCCRGGAGGCGGGGCAGCATGAAGCGCGGGACTCGCGGGTCCTGGTCCGCCCAGGTGAGCCGCTCCCAGGTGAGACTTTCCCAGGTGTGCCTCCCGCTAGGCTCCTCAATCCTGGCTGGCCGGCTTGGGCAGGGGCCTCGCTCGCAATCCACCCACTTTCCTGGTCACAGTCCAAACCACAGCTAGTGCTCCTCAGGACCTCCTGCTTCTCCCCCAAATAGGCCCGTCCTCCAAACAGCGGCCGATGACCTTGTGGGATACTCCTGGGGGTATGTGGTTCTTTTAAGCTATTACCAGTGGAGACTCTTGACTGCTGGGTTCTTTTTTTTCAATGACTTTACACCTGTTGGATGATGCTAAGGTCACAAGCTACCTCCGCCCCTTCCCAACAGATTCCTGTTTCCCCAAATCCGGAGTCCAGTCTCATCTCAAAAGTCTGATGTTACCTGTTGGACTCAGCTCAGTTTATACCTTAACCTGATTAGGCGCTTTCCCCCTCAAACTAACATTGATCACCCAACAGCCCAAGGTCTATGCTTCTTAGAACCTGGGTCAGAAATCATCTCGACTGCAATCCACTAAGATGTTCCTGTCCTAAAACTCAATGCACACCTTATCCAAGAATTCCCAACACACTGTTGTTGGATGAATTTATTCATTCCAGAATAATTATTCTTTGCACCCCTAACTATATGTAATATACTGTAAAAGGGATTGAGGATAAATTGATGAACAATATATAAAAATCCCTGCCCTCTTGGAGCTGGCATTGTAGTTGGGGACACAGTACAATTCAATATACAAATAAATAAGACATTTCAGACACCAGTAAGTACAAGTGAAAAAAACAAAACGATGTGGAATAACAGGATGACTAAAGGGTACAGGCTGGGTTAGGACATAGGTCTGTAGGTGCAGTACCTCTGAAGAGGTGACATTTGAGCTGAGACCTAAAGGAGAAGTAGGAAGTAGCCAGGCCAAGCACCATGGGAGGTTTTGCATGAGCAAAAACCTTAAGGTGACAAAAGATCTTGGTGTGTACAATGGACCAGAGAGAACAGGGGAGGAGGGAGCCAGGGAGTAAGTAAGAGATGAGTAGAGTCAAAGAAGTTGAGGTTAGGGAGGTGAACAGAGGCTAGGGAGTGGTGAAGATTTTGCATGTTGTGATAAGGGCCATAAGAAATCACTAGTGCCAGAAAAAATATCTGTCCAACCTTATTAAATATCTTTCATTTAACCTTTTAGGGAGCAGATGAGAGAAGAGGTTGTTTCAAATCACAGGCTTGACCCAGGCAGGAGGGACAAAGCCATCATCATCTCTTGCACATGACTCAAGCCATGACATGTCCCATCAAGTCAGATCTCCCACTGATAGGAGCCCAAGCCACCAACTTTGGCTTGTTCCCACCCCACCCAACTTCACCACCATGGGCATCCTGTGATATCATCTCCTCAAAGCCTCCTCAGCCTGCCCTGCACCTTGCACCCCAACTCAGTGCCAGAACCCCACCCATCTTTCAGACGCCTCCATCAATTCCACAGAGATATCACAACCTACGCAGGGGCCTCTGGCATCAGGCAACATCCTGATTTCTCAACTTCTCCATCTAGCTAGGACATTGAGAAATGATGGCTGAGAGAAGAAGCATCTTGACATAGAATATGAGCCTGATGTACTGAGATGGTCCCTTGTTCTAGGTTAGTGATGTAGTTTGGAAGTTTAGCCATTTTTATATTTATTCATCCAACACGTATTTTGAGTGCCTGCTCTGGAATGGAGTTTCGCCTTCCCATAACTTATTCTAGATATTGTGCTAGTACTGGGGGCCACTCTGGTAGCATAAATGGATGCTGTGAACTGGATTCTCCACTTGGAGAAGTGGAGGTCCCACAACCCATATAAAAGGACTTAAGGTGCACAGAATCTGATGTTTCCTCACAGTTAGGTTCAGGTTGTGTATCTAAGATACACAAAATAACTGCCCTGTCCTCTTCAAAAGGGTCAAGGTCATTGGGTACCATTTAATTTTTTATTTCCACCAGTCATCATCTTGGGTTGTTAGCTTTTCAAATGCTTCAAGCATGAAATCTAGATTTGTAGGTTAAAAAAAAGAATCACTTTTTAATGTTGGCAACAAAATCAAAATTTTAGAAAACACTTATGTAAGCCTATAAAATGATTATTTTTTGTCACAATTTCAAGCTTGCAGAAAAGTTATATGTATCATATAAATAACTCTTTTCCCCTGAACCAGTTTGTATACCAACACCACCATAAAAACTTCAATATGTATTTCCTTCAAACAAGGATACTCTCCTGCAGAATTATAACTCATCTATCAATGCAGAAAATTAACACTGATATATTAGTACTATCTAATCTTCAAGTCTTTATTCCAAGTTTGACATTTGTCCCTATAATGTCCTATATGGCATATATCCCAATTCACGATCACATGTTGCATGCAGTTGTCCTGGCTCTTGAGTCTCCTTCAAATCTGGAACATTCTTTGGTCTTTTCCTGGACTCCAATGACCTTGACACTGTTGAAGAGGACAGGGCGGTTATTTTGATACAATGTCCTTGAATTTGGATTTGTCTGATGTTTCCTCCCAATTAGGTTCAGGTTGTGTATCTTAGATTAGATGCAAACTGTGAATTCTGTGCGTCACAGAATAGTGCAGGAAGGAGGCTTGTCCTTCTTGCATCATGACAGATGACACATGATCTCAATTGATCCCATTATTGAAGATCCAACATTGACCACTTGCATGAGGTCGTGTCTTCCATATTTCTCCACTCTAAAGCTGTCTTTTTTTTTTTTTTTTTTTAGTGGAGGTTTGAACTCAGGGATGCTTTACCACTCAGCCACATACCCAGACCTTTTAATTTTTGTTTATTTTGAGACAGGATCTCACTAAGTTTCCCAGGTTGGCCTTGAGCTTGTGATCTTCCTGCCTCAACCTCCTGAGTCACTGGGATTAGAGTTGGGTGCCACTGAACCAGGCAGGCTATTCGCTTCCTTTGTGAAATCAATAAATATTTCAAAGGAAGAACTGTGAGATTTGGTAAATATTCTGTCATTTATGAATCTTTGCATCTATTTATTTATGCTAGTGTAGATTTGTGATTCCATGGTCATAATTCATTACTGATATGATTTATTTGAGTGTTCAAATTATCCCAGGTTGGGCTGGGACAATCACTTCAAGCTGGCTTCTGAATCCATTCAACGTGTCCCCATCGTTCTTTAAGTACGACCTTATTCTCTGGCATAAGAAGTTCTAGGCTTGTGATTCTCCTCCATAATCCAAAAATCAGTCATTTCTCTAAAAAATACCTGGTTCCTTTCAGTGGCATATGGCATTTAGAAACCAAGATCTACATGTGCTTATTGTTGTCAGGATGTCACTGCTCCTGGATCCTCTCAGTGGGCAGTTTTACACACACACACACACACACACACACACACACACACATTTATATCTATATTTTCTGTATTTGTTTCTGTGGTCATTCCTCTATACCGAAAACTGTGTCTTTTTGCTCTGATAGATCCATTTCCAATCAAATTCCACAGCGTTCATTCTTTTTTTTTTTTTTAAGAGAGAGTGAGAGAGAGAGGGGGACAGAGAGAGAGAGAGAGAATTTTAACATTTATTTATTTTTTCTTAGTTCTCGGTGGACACAACATCTTCGCCTGCATGTGGTGCTGAGGATCGAACCCCGGCCGCACGCATGCCAGGCGAGCGCGCTACCGCTTGAGCCACATCCCCAGCCCCGACAGCGTTCATTCTGTCTTCTCCCTTTCCCTAGCTGTAGATCCCAATAGTGAGAAACTATTCTCATTGTTTTTTTACATGTTCAATTATTGACCAACGCTGATATGGAACAATTTCCTATCATGGCTGCCACCTCACTCCCCAACAAGGATGCCCTTTATGCCCCATTGAAGCCCTGATGCTTGCACCACCACCCCCCATGCCATCCTTCTTCTCCCATTCAGTCTCTGACCTCTCTTTGGATCAGCGTGACCCATCTCCCCACCCTCATTGCTGATGCTTAGCTTTCTTGGACCGGAGCTTTTGGTTTGAACTGCTTAAGAATAGAAGGTAGGGGCTGGGATTGTGGCTCAGCGGTAGAGCGCTCTCCTAGCACGGGCGAGACCCGGATTCCATCCTCAGCACCACATAAAAACATAAAGGCATTGTGTTGTGTCCATCTACACCTAAAAAATAAATATTAAAAAAAAGAATAGAAGGGAAAAAAGGAGGGGAAGTGGGGAGAGGGGAGGAAAAAGAAAGAGCCACATAAACCTTTAGCAAGTTGGCTTTAGCCACATCATTCCTACCTCCAGCTTAACAGAATAGGATGGACATTCCCCTCTGAGCCAAGAGGACGGAAGATTACATAAAAAACACCATAAAGTGTCGTGGGGTAAAGTACTACCAGATATGGAGGAGCCCCTTCATCTTTTTGGTTTATTGGGCCACCCTACCTCTCTGTGAGTTGCAAACTCCCTCCCAAGTTGATGGGCAGGACCAGCAAGTTCCTGTGAAGGTAATTCCAGGGGTGAATTATTCAAGTGTGTCATTTTCCCAAGCTGGCTCCACCCAGCATTAATAGCCTCTTCCCAAACTGAATCATCAAATCCCGTCTCTCCCCAACAGCATCTGGTGGGATGGATGAAGTAGGCCAAGTTCAAGTGCACAGTCTATTTGACATTTCATCCTAAACCCGGGAGCCTCTCTGCRTGCAGCACAGTAAAAACAATACTAGCTGCCAACAGTTATAAACAGTTACTC